CTTTGCCACAATCCTACCACTGAGCCACCTTCCCAGCCCCTTTGCCACAATCCTATGAGGTAGTTATTACCACCTCACCTTACAAATCAAGAAAGATTCCAAAAGTAAAACACCACTTAGGCCACACAGCTGGTGAGTGGTGAGGATGAGGGACAGATTCAGGGTGACTTTCTCTATCTGCCCTTAGCCTGCTCTGGGATGGAGGCAGCCGTCAAGAGAAATCTGGGATGGGAAGGAAGGAAGGAAAAAGCCCAGAGAGGCCTGATTGCAAGGCCAGGGCAGTGTACTGTAGGGACAGCCTAACTGCTGGCCTGGCTGAACTAACCATTGCTGGGCAAGGGAGCAGCACACTTGGAGAGAGCAGCCTGCTTGAGAAGTTGAGCTTTGGGCTGGAGGTCCTTGAGGCTAAGTTGCCCTCAGAAGCCCTACTGAGTCTGCAGATCGGAAGGAGCTCCCAGGCCCTGCTGGCAGCCATTGTTCCCAGCCTCCAATCAGGAGTAGCCACTTCCTGTTATTTTAGGCGGCAGGAAATGACCCCATCCCTAAGCCTGAGCTCCACCATGTCCCTCCCTCAGCCCCAGCAGAACAGCCTAGGTTAGGGCCCAGATGAGAAGGGCAAAGGCCTAGCCTCGGGCTAAGGCCTGCAGACAGCCCACTAGCTAAAGTGTCACCACCTGGGTCTGGGACCTCTTTCTGGACCAACTTGTTCAGAATCTTCAACTGGTTCTATCTCTGCTTGGCAAAAATATAAGGGGTCCCCAAAACCAAGTTTCCTATAGAAGACCCATTATGGAAAAGTGAGCCAGACCTTGCTACCGACTGGCTTTGTTATGGTAATCCACTATGGAGGCAGGCTTTAAAGTCAGATGGAGTCCAAACACTGCCTCTGCCGGCTCCCAGCTCTGTGACTTTAGGCAAGTGACTTCATCTCTCTGGGCCTCATTTGTAAAATGGGGCTAATACTAGGTCTCTACTCAAGGACGATGATGAAGAATGAATGAGACAGTAGTCATGAGCACTGTGCCTGGTACAGTTACAGCCCTTAACAAATTGGGAGTGGGAAACCACATGTGAAGGCTAGTTTGGTTCACCAGGGAGTCCATGCGGGGCCTACATCTGCTCTGCTTAGAACTGGTGAGGAGCACTACGAGGAAAAAGAAAGCAGGCTGTCTACCAGCTCTACCAGGCAGAGCTGCAGCTGAGCGGTGATGGCGGACACACTGGAGGCTGTGCCCTGGGGTGCCAGGCAGAGCTACCACAGGCCAACAAGGCTGCATTATCTTAGCCTGGCTCTTTAGCTTCCTCTCTGGCCCTGAGACCCAGTGGAGAAACAAGGACATAGTTCCCTCTTGCTAAAAATCTCACTTTCAGGCTTCCATAGCTACCATTCTAGCCCTGCGTCCAGCCTCTTGTGCCTCCTCTCTCCCTTGCCCCACCAACAGCAGGTGCCCATCTTGGGAGGAAGGGGGATCAGCTGGCTTAGTGCCCTCATGCCTAATTTAAATATGCATGGATGCATATTAGAGGCTCATTAGAGGCCTCATTACTGGGCCCATGGGAGAGGGTTGTTGGTGGGAGGTACCAGCCAGGCTAGCTGCTGCATGGACACCTGTGGCTCTTTGTGCCAGCCTCACTCATTTCTGCTCATCCATTGAGGTCTGCTTCAAATGCCTCCACCAGGAAGCCTTCCACAAGCAGAGCCCATTATTGTACTTGGCTTCCCTCAGACACATGTGAGCATATCTCCTTGCCTCTTCCGGAAGCACGTATCCCTGAGGGCAGGGCCTCTGATTCACTCCTCTACCATCAGCACAGCCATCACCCAGCTGGCACATGGCAGGGTGTCAGATACACCCCAACCCACATCTGTCTAGAAGTCCCTCCCAGCCCTCTGTCCTATTTAGCTCCTGAAGTTCTACTTCATCTCACCTCCTCCGCTGGCCTCTGAAGAATATGAAATTATCTCAACAGAAACCAGAGTGCTAGCACTTTTGAGCACTAAGTCCACACAAAAGCCTAGGCTGAAAGGGTTTTTTTGTTTGTTTTTGGTCAGCCATAGGGCTTGAACTCTGGGACTGGGCTCTGTCCCTCAGCTCTTCAGCTCAAGGCTAGCACTTTACCATTTGAGCCACAGCACCACTTCCAGCATTTTCTGTTTATGTGGTGCTGGGGAATTAACCCAGGGCCTTATGCATTCTAGGCAAACACTCTACCACTGAGCCACCTTCCCAGACCAGTAGACTGAGAGGCTTGTTTGTTTGTTGTTTTTGTTTTGCCGGTCAGTCGTGGGGCCTGAATTCTGGGCCTGTGCGCTGTCCCTCAGCTATTCAGCTCAAGGCAAGCGCTCTACACCTTAAGACATAGCACCACTTCCGGCTTTTTCTGCTTATGTGGTGCTGAAGAATTGAACCCAGGACCTCATGCATGCAAGGCAAGCACTCTACCACTGAGCCACCTTCCCAGCCTATGCTGAGAGTTTTATGTGTTCCTCTCATTTAATGATTTTAATGTGTCAGAGGGATCATTTATAACATTATTCTCATTAAAAATTTTTTTTGAGGTGTATGGAGGTTTGCACTCAGGGACTTGTGTTTGCTAGGTAGGCATTCTATACCTTAAGCTACATCTTTACCTCTTAAATTTTTTTAACTCCATATTCTCATGTAATAGATGAGAAAGTTTCAGAAGTTGGTTAAGTAATTTACCTGAGGTCACACAATAACAAGTTACAAAGTGGAACTTAAACTGATTCCAGAATCTACACTCTTAAACAAACTGCTTCCCAACTCCTGCCCCTCCCTCCCTCGCCGGTATTTCATGCCTCCCTCCTGGCACCAGTTCCAATGAGCATAACCACAATAATGGTAATAACACTTCATTGTGGGTGTCTGTGCTTGTGTGCCAGGTTGCTTTAGGTTCATCCTGTCTAACCCTCACGTCACCCCACAGGCGAGATAACACTATCCTGTTTTCCAAGGGCAGAAGCTAGCTCCAGGATCTACTAGCCAGTCCAGAAGCCAGTAAACAGCTAACTGGGATTTCCATTCAAGTCTTCTGATCCCCAAAAAGTTGCCCCACTTGTCCCTTGCCTCACGAGGCCTGCTGCTAATGCCCTGTGTGCAAGTGCACAGAAGGAATCCCAAGAGGACAGGGACTGGCACGCACAGGCTCAGGCCCACCCTATGCCAGGGGCATTTACTACTTGTCTCCTCACAGGGCACTATGGCCCTTTCAATTCTCAGTGAAGGCACAGGTGACCCTCCTGATCCAGAGTCTCAAACGTCTCCATTCTAGACCTTTGTGTATGCAAGCCTTCCAACCCAGGACTCTATGTAGCCCCCACCCCCAATAGAGCCAAGCCTCCCACCCAGGGCACCCCACCCAAGTGCCATAGGCCACTGGTTATGCTTTATCACTACCCCTATTTAGGCTCCCATGTACACATCAGTGCCAGGACACTCAGGTGCTGAGAGCAAGAAAGCAGATGGATGGACCAGGCTGTGTCTCCCTGGGTGTCCCCTCTCTGACCCAGCAGAGCCAAGACAGATCCAGACATCTTGTTTCCAGTACGGGTCTTATAAACCCACCTCTGATGGCACCTCCTCCTAGCTTCCATGCCCACAGCGTTCTCTTCAAATACCCACGCTGCAGTGGGGAGGAACCCACCCACAGACAAGCAGCCCCACCTTGTCCCGGCTCTCCGCACCCACAGACAGTTTCATCCTGGGCCCACACCCCAGGGGGCAGGGAGGTGACAGGATTAGTCTCAGGACTCCATGGCGGTGTGGGGATGGGGCCACCTCCCCCCTGAGTCAGTGGAAACAGAACTCGGGCCCTAGGTAATCATGCTCATCTCTTCTCTTCCAGGAAGAAAGAAAGAGCCCTCCCTCCAACACCAGGCCCAACCAGAAACCTGTCCCCACCCCCTCATCAGCTGCTCCCAGATCGAATGGGATTTGCAGAAGTCCTGGACACTGTCGGTTGGTGGGGTGAGGGGTGGGGAGGAAAGCTTTGGCGGTTTTTTTGGGGGGTGCACATGGAGTGTGTGTGTGCGCGCGTGTAAGAAGGGATGGCGCGATTCAAAGCCTCAAACTAGGGAATGATGTGGCAGGTCCCGGAGTGGGGCCTTCAGCCTTCACTTCATTCTACAGTGAGATTCGGGTCCAGAGAAGCCGGCTAGTACGACAGGCAGAACAAGCAAATCTACTTCTGTCCCCCTTTCTCCCCAAATCGGGTTGGGTGGGCTCCGGAGCAGGCCTAGCTGCAGGGGAGGCAGCCCACTCCCCAGCTCCCGCCCTCGCCCCAAACAATGCCGCCTCCCCCTCCCCCCTCGCCTTTATTCGGCGGGTTACTTGGCAGCCAGCGCTGGAGCCCTCCTCCTCCTCCTCCTCTCCCCTCCCTTCCCGGCCGGCCCGCAGCAGCAACAGGCCCTTTGCGCGGCAGCTGGACGGATGGGGTGGGGGCGAGGTCTGGGCCAGGGCCTGGGCGTGGGGGGCACCAGGGCCTAGGCTTCGGCCTGCGGGGGCTCCAGGCCCGAGAGTCGGGACACGACGACCCCTCCGGCCCCCCCCCACCCAATACACCCACATCCCGGCGAGGGTCACGCGTGCCCACTGGGGATGGGGAGAGGGGCGGGCCCTCGAGCCAGCTCGGCAAAAGAGGATCTGCAGGGACTGGGGTGGAATGGAAACCGCGGTGGGGGCGGGGAAGCCGAGGTGGCACGGGACTGCGACAGAAGAAGGGGTCACCCCCACCAGTCCCCGGACGGGTTCCCCCCAGAGGACCCCGCCCGCCGGGCGCGGCGGGGCGCCGGTGGGGGAGGGGAGCTGTCAGAAGATGCGGCCGCCGCCGCCGCCGCCGCCGCAGCTTTTATTTTTAAACTTCCAGCGGTCAGAGGGCGCGGCGGGGACGGTCGGCGGCCTCCCTCCCCCGGCCTCCCGCGCCCCCCCCCGCCGGTTTCCCTCCCTCCCTCCCTCGATCCCGCGTGGCTCCCGGCATACCTGGGGATGCGCCGGAACCCGGCTCCGCGTGCGGGCCGCTCTCCATGGCTGCGGCGACGCCTGGGCGTTTTCGGGGAGGGAGAAGAAGGGGAGGGGGGGGGAATCTCAGCGG